GATCATCCCGATACAGCTCTCAAATGCGCGTAGTATTATTCAATACAGAACCGGCATATACTGTATCTTGGGATAGTAATATCTTCAGTAACAGAAACAACATTACATCGCGGTTTTCAATATAAGAACATTATATTACAGTATTTATCGTATATTATTTATTAGTAAATTCGTAAGTTGCCATTGTCCTGTATTTACTTAATGAATTAATTAACTGTATTGTAGAAACATCTCACATTCACTCAATGCTGATAAAATCGTAAAGTCGGCCGTGATTACGCAGGCGTAATCTATACAACAACGTAATACAAATACATCAAGAATTGGAATCTAAGTTCAAGAAATATTTGAAGCTGTAATTATAAATTGTAACTTATAATATCGATATCTCTTAAGAGTATGTAAGCATAGAAATATTTAGAGTTGGTTAATTAACCGACTTATAAAATCATCATATAGTAAACAGACGATCCTAAGAAGATTTCGTAACCGTCTCTATATGATGTTCAATATTGGCTCACTTCATTAAGACGTAATCGTTCACAATTATCTATTCGTATACAGTATAATGCACTGTCTATTTAATTACCGAAATAACGTAAAAAGCTTTCGATTTATTCCACCTTGCAACGTAACTTAGTATACAATCACTGTCATTGTCGATTAATTTTCCATTCAATTTGATGTAAACACAAAAAAATTTGTGTAGATCTACTAATTATTCAATTAGACGTGACTATTCATAAAAATGTTGTGTTCTTATTTGAACATTAATACTGTAACATAAAAAGGAGTTCCTAATAGGAAGTGAAGAAAATAGTAAAACTATTTTTTAATTTACTTTTGCGTAAAACTTACTTAAACAAGTAACTCCTGCGTAATTGTAATTATTGCAAGATCCAGTATCAGTCCAATTGGATCGAGAACACTGCAATAAAGAGGTTTCGTTTCCTGTACATCCCAGATATCTTAGCCATATCTGAATGCGTGCAGAACCATATTGTGAGCAACATTGGTATGTAGATACATTTGCAAATCCTAATTGCCTGCAGGCTACTTGAGCATCCTGCATACTCCAGCCATGATCGCAAATTGCACCCCAACGACCGTCATGATATATTTGTACATTGCCTCTCGTAGAATCGTAACCTTTTCCAACAAGTCTAAGCGCTCCCTCTGCTACGGGACCTATGAAATAATGATATGTAAATTATTGCAAAAAGAATAAATTACCTGATGAACAATATCACATTTACAAAGATAATCCTTAACACCTTAAACTAACGATTTGAATATAGAAGAGATAATTAAGCTGTCTCACCTTCAGCACAGTTTGATCCATAATACCCTTCTGGACATTTGCACGTGTAAGCTTGAAACTGATCAACACACGTAGCATTACTTGAACACGGATTAGAAGCACATTCGTTAGTCCCTGAAAGGAGTTAAAATTAATAATAATGAGATTATAATAGGTATAGCCTCGGACATATCTTATTTTAACCATGGCGAAAATAATACCGATTCTTAACTAAAATGACAGTATCGTTAAATCAATAACTATAAAATAAACTCTATCTGAAGATCTCCAAGTAATTATTCATAGTATCAATCTCACAATAATGTTATTAACGTATATAAAAGAAATATCATCGCCAATCATAAAGTTACCAGCTTCACACTGTTTGCCAGTCCACCCTGGCGAGCAACTACAATTATAACCAACTCCCAAAGTTGCGTTACTGATGCAAGTTCCATGAACGCAAGGGAAGGATCCGCATGCGCCAACTGTGAACAAAATTTATTTTTAATGCAGTTCTAAGAGCATGCCAACGGGTAAAAAAACAAGAAGTCAAATTCTTTTACTAAAATTTACATACCAGTACATTCAATGCCGGCTTCGTCGTAACGTTGACAACCAGTGTTATTCCATCCAGTGTATGAGCATGCAGATAGACTACTTTCAGAGCCAGTACAGTTAACATTACTTAGCCATATTGGGCCATTTCCATATCCAAAATATGAACAGCAATAATAGGATGATACATTAGTGTAACCTAGCTGTCTGCATACGACTCTAGCATCCTCAATTCCAAATTCTCGATGGCATACAGATCCCCACTGATTGTTATAAAATACTTCCAATCTTCCAGCATTTGGCTTATATCCATTTACTAGTCGTATAGGTATAGTGATGTTTGTACCTTTGTTTGAAGCAACATTGTAAGATATTGAGTATCAGCTTGCCGATAAAAATACTTTAAGTCTATGTCGCTACATATAATTAAAGAAATTAAAATACGATAATAACATACAGCATAAGATTCAGGCTAACCATATAATTATAGATCTAATCGTGCTACCAATATAATCAAGTAAAGAACAAATCTATCAAATGTCAAAACTGAATAACTTGATTCTAATGTGCTATCTATTACATACAATTTTGACTATTAAACTATATCAACATGATTTAGGAAATTAAGCTGCAGTTGCAGTTATGTAAAATGTATGTGCAAATGTATTTTTAATAGAAAAAAATAATTACAAAACGTAATAAAACGAAATAAAAACTATTCTAATCTCCCGAAAGTAATACTTGTCTATAATTCATCAGATAAGGTATAGTACTTAGCATATCTTAATACAATTAGCTACTCTCAAAACCTGAGGTTAGGAAACTATAACTTCGTAAATGATTATAATGTTTTTGATACATAACGTAAAACATGCATCTAGGGGCCTATTTAACTAACTTGACCTCACATATCAACTTATAAATCAATAATTTGATGCAAATTACCTTAAAATGAAAGCTTAATTATTTTCAAATAAATACGAATCGATAAATTTTCGAATTTAGTTGAAGTTTGAAATTTCTTATAAAATTTAAACTTGAATAGTGTTCTCTAGTCTGCATATCGTCTATTTTAATACAATAGATTACAAAAAAAGCATCATACTTACTCAGTCTACATGATGAATTAATGTAACTGTAGCCAGACGGACACTGGCAATCGTATCTACCAATTCTGTCGATACAAGTAGCGTTGCTTCCACATGGTGATGAATTACATTCATTGATATCTATTTAATAGAAGTACGCGCATATCTAATTAATATTTACTGTATACTAATTAATCTCAAGGCTAATAATCTATTACAATCTAAAACTTTAATAAAGAACTACTGTACTGTTACTACTGTATGTATTAATAATGGCTACTTGTAAACTAACTAACTAACATCGTACATTCCATTTATACTTTAAATTGATAACAGTAAAGAAGTTCATAAATTAATTCTAAACTACTATTACTTGTGTAATTGATATTGCTTACTTGTTTGACACCTATTGCCAGTAAATCCATAAGAACACGAACAACTATATCCATGAATTCCAGCAAAACAAGTAGCACCATTTGAACACGGATTCGGTAAACAACTATTACTAGCATCTAAATATAGCATAAATTAATATTAGTATACGAGTATAAATAAGATACAAAACATAGTTTTACGCGTATTCAGCTTAGCACGTAAATTTGGATAATTATTTAATGTTATTATGAAAAAAGTTTTACTGACTTTGTTGGCAATACGAATTATTGTAGATGTAGCCTGGTGGACAATAACAATCGTATCTACCGATACCATCAATGCAGGTAGAATTGTTCAAGCATGGAGAGGAACTACATTCATTAACATCTGTTATAGAATAAATCAAATAAAATCAATCCATACATTCTTTTCTATTATTTAAAACTCATAAAAGCTAAGATATCAATCTATTTCAAAGCTATGAAATCATGCACGACTACAGCATAATGAAAGTAAAATAATGTGGCTATGAGTGAAGTATGTTGTAATTGTAGTAGTTATTACTTACTTATCTGACAAATATTGCCAGTAAATCCATGAGGACATGAACAATTATATCCACTCTGGGTTCCTTGTGAGCAAGTACCGCCATTTAAGCAAGGACTTGGCGAGCAACTATTGTTTAAAGCTGTAATATTTAACAGTTATTGACAATCACAATTAGTAATACAAATTATATAGAGGTAAAATCAAATTGCTATGACAAACTATGTGTAATAGAATTCTGTTTTGTTATGTGTTCTGTCCTATCTTACAATCGTTGCTAAGAAAGATATACCAAAGTACAATCGTACAGTACAGTGTATGAAGTAGTTATAGTTTGGTGATACTGTATCACACATACAGTATAGCCATAGACGTATTTTACGAACTTACACCCGAGACCACTAAAAGGAAAGAAAGAGGGACGTAAAGCGGCTACCAGTGAAAATTAACATGGAGGTCTATCATTCTTTAGGCCATTCTGCTATAGCTATGCCACTAGCTCATGTACAACCATCTAGTGGGCTTACTGTAGTACTTATGTCTGATTTCTAAGTATGAAAATAGACAGTACGTACACACTACGGTATACTAGACTGTTAGCTCAGCTATTATAGTCTAATACTGTACGCTAGACCACCTACCCCAGGCAACATTAACCAGTTCAATTAAAGACAGAGAAAAGAACGCACTAAGCACTTCTTCTTATTGCGTCTTATTAACTTAATAGTAATTATATTTATATTACTAGGGTAAGCTCGGTGCTGCAAGGTACGTTTCGTATATGGTAACGGAAAGTAACTTTCCTGAAGAAACCAATTTTTGATAACTTTATTCCGCGATTGACGACAACTTTAACGTATTCGATCGATCACGGCCAAACGGAGAGTGGGACTGAAAACTATTGCACACCTGCACAATCTGCATACAGTGTAGATGCTCCTCGTTGACTTTAAAACGGCGAGAGAACTTGAATAAACTTCTAAACTACTCAACTCTATACTGCAGTGAAGCACTGTCACCTGTCGTTGCTATTTTGTTTGTGCATGCTCAGTGCCTGATATTGCTTAAATATACTAAATTTTTATGTTCAGTTATTTGTGATATGCATGCAGTCAATGCAGGTAATGGACAATTGGACATTAGATATTAAACGTTTTGTGAGAAAAAGTAAAGCACATTACTTTAAAATTTGGGGGGATAATACTCGACTACGCGGATTGTGTACACAAATGCCATATATTGTAGATATTTTTATGTTCAGTAATAGATTTAAACGTTTTGTGTATAATGCACGGCTACATCTGCTTTCGTGGCTAGTAATCAGATAAAAGTGTGTGTATATAATATGTTCAGTCAAAGAAATTGTGGATTAGTGATACAATTGTACGCAGTAAAGTAAAAAAAACAAGTTTGTACAAGTACACTTATACACTCAGTACTCGGTATTCTAAGTAATTAGTCCAACAAGACGTCTGTGCTTGTTAAGAACGTAATAAATCTAATGAACCATTGTGCGAATATCAAGGTTTAATAGTTAAACTATTACTGTATATTTTTGTAGTATTATTATCATATTTCGGAGTTGCAATGCAAGTAAATACTGTAACTTTATCATTATCTTAACGTTTTTAGTGTACGTATAGTTTATCTTGAATAATGATGCCTAACATTTATATACACATAGCTAAATATTCTACAGTTGAAACTCTTTACCGATGTAATACAATGTGACTTACTAGTACACCGAACGCCGGCTATACCGTATCTAGAACATCCATTACTGATGCTTCCCCATCCAGAGCCGCGAGAGCAATCTGAAACTCTACTTTCATTTCCTCTACAATATAGATTGCTTAACCACATTAACGTGTAATTCTGATTTCCATAGTACGAGCAACAGTAAGAGCGCGAGGCGTTAGGATAACCTAACTGACGACATACAACTTGTGCATCGTTTATATCAAAGGAATAGTGACATATCGAGCCCCAGGTTCCGTTATGATAGATTTCGACATTGCCCTCATTCGGTCCAGCAGCGTTATACTGAGCCACTAATCTAACGCTACCATCAGCAATTGGTCCTATTACGTTGTATTAACGTTAAAAATTGTTATACAAAATCATATAAGAATGGGTGTTTTCGAACTCGTTATCACTAATAATTAAAATAAAATATCTAATAGTACAATTAAAAGTTTACTGCTTGAAAATAATATTATTGATATTACTGTAAGAGCTGTAATACGAGCATATCATAATAGCAACCTTCTTGACAGTTCGATCCATAGTATCCATCTGGACATAAACATACATAACTAGTATGTTGATCAATACATGTTGCATTGGCTGAACAAGGGTTAGAAGCGCATTCATTTACACCTAGACGATGTTATCAATCACAAAAATAATTACTATTACAAAGAATACATTTTACGACACCGTAGCATTTCCTGAAATACTATACTACCTATCTTGTAGTGTAGTATTATATTCGTATCATGAATTTCCATTAAAGTAGCTGTTACAATAAATATTACCAACTACGGTATTAGTTACAATCCAAAACTATCTCAACAATATTCAGCCATAAATCTAAACAATAAACCAAAGAATACATAAACTACATTCTACTTACTCATTTGGCATTGCTGTCCGGTCCAACCGTATAGGCAACTACAATTATATCCGCCAGTAGAGTTACTGGTACATGTCCCATGAACACACGGATATGATGCGCAACTTCCAGCTGAAATTAATTTCAAACATTAAAAATTTAAATAGGGTAATTTCTAGTAAATTTTGGTAAGAAAGTATATCCCGAAATAGTTCCGAAACAGTTTAAAAATAATGTATTCGATACAGTATAGGTATACAGGCCACAATAATAATATCTCTTCGGAGATATATGATATCGAGTTTTCCAATGATAAGGTTTCGTAACTGCGTCTGCATAAAATGCTCAATACTAGCTCGCTTCACTAAGATACGATCGTTCACAAGTATCTATCTGTATAATATATCGTCTCTTTAATTACCGAAATACCCGTAAAAGCTATTGATTTATCGCACCTTAACCCATAGTGCTTTACTAATACATTTCCTCTTCTGAATTACTATCTACCGTATACAATTATTTCGATATGTATGCGTATACGAGTATACCGTTTAATTCTATATTAATGTAAATTTATTATTTAATATGCTACTAATTACCTATACATTGGACTCCCGCGTAAGTACTTCGCCCACACGAGCTTGTTACATTCCACCCAGAAGAAGGACAGTCTGTTAATTTACTTTCATTCCCAGAGCAGCCCACATTGGAGAGCCAAATATGTTTTACAGTACTGCCAAAATTTGAACAGCAATAACTGGATGATACATTACCATATCCTAATTGCCTACAAGCAACAAGAGCGTCGTTTGTACTCCACGAATAATGACAAATTGCACCCCACATTCCATCATGATATATTTCTACATTTCCTCTATCAGGACCGTAGTTGTATGCGCTATAAAGTCTGAGATCGCCATCATTTACAGGACCTATTCGGTAATAAAGGTATTATATATTTCCCTTTATAGATCACCATCATTGTTACACTATCATCGAGTAGCATCTACAGTAGCTTAGTTTTTGTTGTATGTTAGCAAGTATATAATATTATTAAACACTTTCTCACTGATTTCTAAATACGTACCTTTACTGCTCAATCTAACAATACGAAAATCTTTTATACATAGTAAAAAAGTGTGATTGATGATGTCGCCGATATCCGATATTATTCGAACAGATAGTACCGTAATATTTTGTGATTTATTTTATCTCAAACACTAAAAACTTACCTTGACTACAATTAGAGCCATAATAACCTTGTGGGCACTTACACGAGTAACCAAGAAATAGATCTATACAAGTAGCGTTACCAGAACATGGACTGGAGATACATTCGTTAATTTCTATTGGGAGAATCGGAGGTATTTATTCGATTAGTAATTAAATAGTAATGTACAATCTTGTAAACATACTTTAATTATACAATTATACAAGTGATATCGGTAGATCTGGGTAGTACTTTAGCTTGATAAATATTCGTAGTATTTATTTTACCGTTTAGATCTTGCACTAACGAAGTTGCGTTATATTGAATTTTTATAATAATTTTATATTATATTTTAATGCAGTACGCGTACGTAGAGATGATGTGTAACAGATTATTGTGTTAATTTACCGATTTCGCAGTTTTGACCAGTCCATCCTGCCTCGCATGAACAGTTATAGTCTCCACCCATAGTCGTATTACTTACACAGGTACCGTGGACACAGGGAAATGAACCACAACTACCAACTATCGATAATCATAATTATAATTATAGATATATATATATCATGAACATACGAGAATATTATTAATTTTTAATAAACTTAAAATATGATTTCGGATTAATGTTATTCACTGTAAATGAATATTTTACGGCCATTCTGATATTGTTGGTATTAATTAGCTATAAGTTGTGTTAAAACTGCGGTATTAGATCGTTCCTGTGGATGATATTTAATACTTGAGCTTTGACTTATTCAAGATACGAGTAGAGTCTACGCTCGTCATACTTTGCGTACCGTAAGTACTTACATATTTTACTTTGAACATACTGTTAGTATGATTTATAGCTCAAACGTGATTATACTAGTACTCGTAATTTCCACAATTCAAATAATATAATTAGCAAATAGTAGTATGTAGCAATGCTTACACGTAGGTACTGTACAACTAGGTAACTATAAACTGATTGACACATACAGTATTTTATCAACATTCTACAGTATATTGCTAGGCAGTTTACAATGAAACTGACTAATACGCGTATATCAGATTTTAAGCTGTATATTAGTTTTTCTAGTATTAAGTTCTCTAATAAGTAAATCTTTATATGTATACGAATATCTAATCGATATTACATTATAGACATGAATAATTGT